TAATTGCATGTTACAGTCACAGGTGCGTTATGCAGAACTTAAAGATGCGTCACTGCGCCCGCCCATGAATGATAAATGTGAAGTAATCCATGAAAATAAATACTACTTTCCCCATATCCGTGACTATGCCCAAAGAACCAAACACCTCCCACTTGGCCGACTGATGTAAATCCAAGGAGGCCATTAAACAGTCACATGAGTCTTTAGTAGAATCTAGGCCTATCCGTAAGGGCGTTAGCAAATCATAAATCCTAAAGTACTAACTAAGGAGGTAGGCCCCACCACCTTGCCTCCTACCGAGTGTAGGTTTGCCCTTGAATCACTCGGCCGCCTCCCAGGGTGACCCACTAACTAAACACATTAAAGTCTTTTGGGCCCCCTGGTGAGGACTTCATACCTTGAGCTGGTCTTCTACCGGAATCAGCACGACCAATCTTCGTACATCTCTGCGTAGGACGACAGTAGAGGGCAAGGTACAGTCTCGTCTATGGGTCCTGGAAACACGGGGGACAGGAAGGCCTACGCAGGTGGCGACGTCGACATCTCGTACCACTCCGGTCTTGTCCGGATAGGTGACGACAATCCGACCGAGCCGGAACTGTCCTCGCAGGGCATTCTGGTCAGCGATCCAAACTAGATCTCCAACTTGGACATTTCTTTCTGCTCTATGCCACTTGGGCCGGATAAACAAGTTTGGTCCTGCTAGTTCACTCCACTTAGACCAAAACTTGTCGACTCCTGCTTGGACCGCCCTCAACCTGCGCCAAGGGTGGGTGTCCAAGTTGACCCCGTGCATATCTCCAGCTCGTCCAGTGCGCCCTAGGATGAGGGAGTTCGGAGTCAAGTACTCCACAGTTTCCTCTTGCTCCTGCGCTCTGGCATCAATAGGTCGCTCATTGGTTAGGTTGGCTGCTGAGTACAGCAAAGTTTGGAACTCCCCCCAGGTATAGCAGCTGGTTGTTCCGCCGAGGCTATTGAGAGCTCTTTTCATTAGTTTGACAGCTGCCTCTGCTGCTTCATTTCTGTGGGGCGAGTCAGCGGGGTGGAAGACCCACTGCCATTCATTTCCATTTTTTGCTGCAATGTCCTCGTTCGACACTTTCTGCAGACTGTCCAAGTGCCTGTGAAGGTCTCTTAGCGCAGATTTGGCACCCACGAAATTTGTGCCCCTGTCAGACCATAACTTCCATGGATGTCCTCTCAAAGCGGTGAATCTCGAGTACGCCTGAAGAAAGCTCTCAGCTGACAGGTTGTCTACAAGATCGGCATGGACAGCTCTGGAAGCCATGCAACAGAACACGATACCCCAGACCTTTTTCATGGTCCGTTTCTTGACCGCATCTCTTACTTCAAAAGGACCGAAAAGATCCAGCGTGGTAAACTCGAATGGGTTTGCTCTGTGTGTGCGCTCAAGGGGAAGATCGCTCATTTGTTGTTGGCATAGCCTTGCTTTCTGCTTCTTGCACGTTATGCACTCGTTGATCACCCTCTTGACTATCCTTCGGCCTTCTATGATCCAGGCCTTTCTTCTTGTGCGCAGTAGTGTAGCAGCAACCCCTTCATGATTAGCCTTGTGAGCTTCTCTAGCCAGCAGAGTACCCAACCACGATTGGAAAGGTAGCAATGGTACCCCTCTACTGTCCTCTTTCCATGATTGGATTCTTCTGCCACAAAGCAAGAGTCCTGTGTTTTCATTTTTGGTTACAACAAGGCGGTTCAAGGTTGTAATTTTGAAGTCTATGCCACTCTGGGCAGCAAGGACCAAATCTTGAAAAGCCTCTGTTCTTTCGTCTGCAGACAGTTTTGAACCGTTTGCCTCCCACTTTGCTGGCTTCAAGGCTTTGTTCTTTGTCCTCAGCCATGATTCTACAGCTCGTCGGACCCAGGCGACAGTTCCACATAGTTTTGACAAGCTGCCAAATCGTACTAACTCCAAAAGACTGATAAGAGCCACGCCCCACGCCTTTCGTTTTGGCCATGTTATTGTTTGAAGAGGACTTTTATCTTCTGGTTGTTGTTTTAGTGTTCTGACTTCGACATTTGAACTTTCACCAGCTTTACAGAGTCCCAATTCTTTTTTCGACTGTGCTCTAGTCATTACAGCAGAGAATGCTTTTCTTTGTAACGTTTTCACTTCAACAGCAACTTTGGTCACGATCTCACCGGCCGTCTTCACAGGCCAATCAGCTTCAGGACTTTTTAGAAACTCAGGACCTTGCTGCCATTCTGAATTCTCAAGCTCTTCAGGAGTGGCTCCCCGAGTGACGATATCAGAAATGTTGAGGTTACCGTCCACCCACCGCCAGTCTTCTACTGGTCCAGCCAATTGTATCTCACCGATTCGATTAGAGAAGAATGTTTGGTAGCCATAACTGTCCTTCTGGATTGCCCCCAAGATAGTTTGGCTATCCACAAAATGGACCCAGCGCGAGACCTCCAGGCGGCAATGTTTCTCAAAGTATCTTTTTAGACGAGTTGCGAAGACAGCGCCACATAACTCAGCCTTGATTACATCCCCTTTCTGGTCGAGAGGGGTTAGTTTTGCCTTTGATTCGACAAGCCTCACAACAACCCCTTCTTGCGTCTCCCAGCAGAGATAAAGCACAGCACCGTAGGACGCCTCACTCCCATCAGAGAACGTAATACCCATGGGGTGGCCCACGGCTCCAAAGGGTGTGAGGCTTCTTTCAAACCTTATCTGGCCAAGTCTCACATACCCCTCAAAGAGTCTTATGGCAGCCTCCCGGAGTTTTGGCGACAGTGGGTCATCCCAAGTGTCCTTACTTGGATTTCCTATCCTTGCTTCTTGGTATGCCTCCCTTACGAGCATTACTCCCTTTTGTTTGGCTGGTGTGGCAAGACCGATAGGATCGCAGAATCCTGCGACCTGACTTAGAAGTGTCCGACGGGTTAAAGGGTCGGGAGTGTTATGACGTACTTCATCTTCTTTTAAGTCAATGCCAGTCCTCATCTTTCCTCGTTTCTTTGAGAAATTTATGGACGTCATTACACAAAGTTTGTCAGTCTCTGGTTCATAGCCAACACCCAGTGCTTTGTTTTCCTCGTCTCGTATCTGATTTGGCAATACCAAGGTTCTAGGCAAAGACTTCCCATCGTTACTGGAACTTGCCTGGGTTTCTGACCTCCCACTTTGACCCGTCAACACCCACGGTTTTAGGGAGAAGCCGCCAGACTTTAAGATCTTTGCGACGCCTTTGGTGATCTTCTCCAACGTCTGGAGGTCATTGTGGGATGTCAGTATGTCATCGACATAGCTATCTTCTACCAGTACACGGCGCTCTTCCAGCATGTCGGCAAACTGTGGTAGGCTCGCAGTCTCTCTCATGGCAACCTGAGCGATGCACCCTGCAGGTTTATCCCCAATGTTCACTCTGACTACAGCGAATGTCTGGATTTCATCCTCTGGGTTGTCCCTCCAAAGGAATCTGTGGAGGTGAACTTCTTTGTCCTTTAGCCATACAGAATTATACATTTTCTTTACGTCCCCTAAGGCGGCGTATAATCCTGTCCGGAATCTTAGAAGGACACCTCTAATTGCATTGAGGACATCTGGACCCTTGTACAGAAGGTCGTTCAAGCTCACCCCACGAAACTCTTGGCTGCTGTTCCATACAATCCTTACTGGAGAAGAAGACGAGTGTGGATTAGGTGCTACTAAGTGGCTGATGTACCACTTCGGCCCCGTCCAGCTTGCAAGTTCCTCTTCAGTTAGCTCAGTTGCAGCTCCTCTTGAGATCATGTCACGGATTTGCTCCTTATACGCAGCCTTCCACTTCGGCTCCTTCTCAAGACGTTTCTCGGTGTTCAGGAAAGTTGCCTTTACTGCATGTCGGTTATCTGGTAACGTTGCAGGGTCACCTTTCCATGGATATGCAGCGTCCCAGTGAGGAGAGTTGCTGTGTTTGTCTGCTTGCACGTAGGTGAGACATTCTTTGATCTTTTCAAGTTCTCTTTCCTCTCCAAGTGTCATTTCTTTGCCACCAGGGGGACATCTACCGCACTTACAGCCACCACACCGGGGGTCACAAGCAGCACCGACACTGTCCCACTTGAACCACTCAAAAGCTTCTTTGCTCGTGACTGCAGTACTCCGGAAGATGGTCTCTTCTACTTTGGCAGAGTCAGATGAATTGACAACGACTTCTCTGTACACTTTCGAGGCTGCTCTCATGGAGCGAGCAAAGTGCGTTTCAGACTTGTACACTGCAAAGTCTACTTCCTCGAAGAGGTCTGGATGAGCCCCACCGACAGTTAGTCCAAGAGGACCATCCCAAAGGACGAGGTCTCCTTGTACTTTGATTGGCTGTGGGACCAGGCGGCCTTCTCTGTGACTTATCAGAAGGTCGATCTTCTCGGGGCGGACCAAGTCGTTAGCAGCAATGTCAGGAAAGAACTTGAGAAGCTGCTGTGGTGTCACTGCCTGGTTCACTTTTGCGATGTTCTCCAGACCGTAACACAAGAGCTTATGCTCTGTCACTGTGCCTTTCTGAGTTTTTACTCTTAGTCTCAGAGTATACCTTTTGGTTGCAACCGTTTTCTCCATTCCTCCAACTCCTTGGACAATCAACTTGACCTTCTCGCCTTTCAGCTTTAAACGTTCAGCAGCATCGTTCGAGATGTAATTAGTGTCTGAAGCAAGATCGATCAGTGTACCAACAAGATGGCCTGAATTTGTTGTCACAGAAAGTAGCATCATCACGACTGGGTACTATTTTGGTTTACTTTCTGATCTTGTGCACACTGTCGTTGTGATTTTGTTTGAGAAGGCTTCTTTGACCTCTGCTTTCAGTTCTGGAGAGAGTTTGGCGAGAACTTCTTCTTGTCTTTCTGTTAATCCAAGTCCTTTCATTTGTACTTTGACCTTGCTTTGTTCCACGTTCTTTAATTCTTTCTTCTTTGTTTGTGGTGGCAACGGACAGAGTAAGTAGTTGTGGTCTGAGGCCCCTCTTTTTTGACAGTCTTGTTTAGAGCATAGAAACCTCTTGGTGCACGCACTGTCTTCATCATGGAGGCGCAAGCATCTGAGGCATGCTCCTATCTTTTTCAGTAGAGCTTTCTTACTCGACAGGTCGAGCCTCTTGAAGGCTTTGCAGGCAAAGAGTCTTCCTTCATGCCCTTCCTCTCTGCAGACTATGCATGAACTTGACAGAGCATCCTTTTGGGTTGATGTTGCCTTTGTGAAGGCTTTCCTTTCTTTGGATTTCTCCTGTGACCTCTCATAGTCTTTTGAGCAGGGCTGTAGCTGATCCAACTCTTCAAGAATGTCTTCCTGTTTCTTCAGGTACTCTAGTAGACAGTCAAAGTGATGTCTGGGGGAAAAGCCGCTCGAGGGGTCATTCTTGTGAGTTAGCCACTTCTCCTTTAGCGAGTCTGGAAGCTTACTCTCAATCGACTGTGCCACTAAACGATTTTTCATTGCGTCTTCCTCCCCCAGGACTTGGAGGTCCCTGAGAGCCCTTTCAACAGCTTGAATTAGTTCAATTGTCTTTCTAGGGTTGTTTCCCTTGACAGGCGGTAACCCGTGGACTTCTTTTGAGATAAGTAGCGCTATTTTTGGCCTATTCCCATATTTGTTGTCGAGGAGTCTGAACACGTCATTGGCAGATCCACAGCTGGACAGCACAAGGTCTCTTTTGACTCTGTCATCTAAGCTTCCCAATAGGTGGAACTTTCTTACGTTTTCCAAGCCATGAGGGTTCCCCAGCTGCTGCAGGTCTTCCCACTCAGCTTTCCATCGGTAGTAATCCCTCATGTTACCTGAAAATGTAGGCAGACGTGCTCGTTCCAAAGTGATTTGGGGCTTGAAGCTTAGTGGCCCTGGGTATATGCTGTGAGCCCCTTGAGCGTGAAGCGCACCCTCACTGACAGAGGTGGGCGCGCTGGTTGGGTTACGCTGGGCTCCACTTATGGGAGTGTGGCTGTCTTGGGGACGGGACAGTTTATGGTCAGGAGCAGGAACAGAGCTAGTAGATGCTGATGGCTCCATGGTCTGGGCTGCCATATCTACGTTTACTTTCGCCTCTTCTTCATCAGACCAACTGTTACGTCGCCACGCCCATTTATCCCACAGTTTCATTTGCCGCTTTCTCAGCTTCCTGCATGAGCCTCTTGATTCCACGAGCTCTGCATGAGGAATTAAGTCTGACCACTCAGTCACTAAACTGTTGACTTCAAAGACTTCTCGTTCCAGGTCTTTGTTTATCAGCTCCCGCTCCATCCTAGATAGCAGTTGATAGTCCTTTACTTCGGCCTGACCCAGGGCTAAGTTAGCCTCCTCTACAAGATCGGAAATTTGATCCTTTGCAAATCTAGTCCATAAGTTGTTTAGGACGAGGAGTTTAACAGCGTCAAACTTTTTATCACATTCGTGCGTTCGCTCGTCAATCTGATTCGCCTTTACACTGGCCTCTTCGTCTTCTAGTTCACGTAGGGCTGTGGAGTACTCAAATCCTAAATCTGTGACTCTGTTATGATCCTCTTTGAAGTTCCTCCACTCAGCCTTAAGATCCCCTTCTTCTAGAGCATTGACCCTGGAGGTAAGATTGTTTGCCTTTTTGGTGAACGCGGCCTGGGCTGCCGTACGCTTCTGCCGCAGCCTTTCAATCATCTCCTTATCTGCCATCTTGACAATTTGCTTTATCCTTTGAATTTGCTTTATTCTTTGAATTTGCTTTATTCTTTGAATTTGCTTTATTCTTTGAATTTGCTTTATTCTGTGAATTTGCTTTATTCTGGGAGGCCAGACCAGATTCATTGTCTTGGTCTTCAGGCTGTGTATTGGCATCAGAACCAGGCCACAAGTTTCACTGGTGGGCCACTGGTTTATGACTGTTCGGACTTTTTATGTTATAGCCCTCCGAAGGGGCTAACGGCAGGCAGCACACATGGCATGACTCGTGTTTGTCATATTTTGTTAATTTATTAGAACAAATGTTTGACCACAGGTCATAAACCTGGAAAGAATACAGAAATAAACAATTACCACTAATTGTCCCTTTAAATTATCTGCCACTAAACTGAACATTGTTATTTGTAAATAAACATTTAGTACTTATTTACATGTAAGTAAGTAAGCTTTATTTATATACCGCCTTTTCACTGCACATCAGAGTCTCAAAGCGGTTTACAATTGCTATTTTTGGGAGTGGGGGTGCCAGTACAGGAGGCACATGTCAGAACTATTGTACATATTTTTTGTGGTAGGGGAAACCGGAGCACCCGGAGGAAACCTACGCAGACACGGGGAGAACATGCAAACTCCACTCAGAAAGGCCCTGGTCCAACCGGGATTCGAACCCAGGACCTTCTTGCTGAGAGGCGAGAGTGCTATCCACTCAGCCACCGTGCCGCCCTAACACAAATAAACATTTGTAAAGCAAATAAACACATTATCGCGCATTTCCCAGTGTAGCCGCGGCAAACCACCGCAAAACTACACTACCCAGCATGCCTGGCGCCGAGTGCGCCTGCGCTATGCGTGCCTCTGCTCTCTCATGTGTCAGCACGGACCAAAACAAACTATGGCACACATACAGCGCTCCACACGTGTCTCCGCTACCACCCGTGCAGTCTACTACTGCTACAGTCCACCTGTATCTGTGATTATGACCACGGTCACAGTGAGTGCTCTGGCTGCTGTGCGCTCTCACTAACTCACCCCACTACACCAGCACAAAGTGCCGCGGATGAGCCACACACACTGACCTAAACAATGCTGGTGCATTGCTACGTTACTGCGCTGGGTGTTTTATGAGCTTTGTACATACCAACAGGCTGTGTGCTCCTGACGATGGCTTGGTTTGTCTGTTAATTGCATGTTACAGTCACAGGTGCGTTATGCAGAACTTAAAGATGCGTCACTGCGCCCGCCCATGAATGATAAATGTGAAGTAATCCATGAAAATAAATACTACTTTTCCCATATCCGTGACTATGCCCAAAGAACCAAACAGTATATGATATTGATATTATGCACAATAGTCTTCTGAAATTACACAAAAATTAATAATGTATTTATAATAAGTAGCATTAATGTTTTAACTAAATAGACATACTTGATTTCATTCAATAGGTTGCGCTCATGTGACATCACAACGTTCAAAGAGCCTATACTTTTACTGTATGGGTGGAAGGCAATAGAAAAATCAAATGTGGTAACCATGGTAACTGTCAAAAATCTTCAAAAACGTCTAGTCTGTTTTTTGAGCAAATTTTACTGTCATTTCTTATTTCCTAAAGATTAAACCCATTCATCTACCTATTGCTTATGTTGGAAACCTCCGAGGACCAAGGTGCCCCGGACCCTACGTTGGGAAGCACTGATATGTATTATAACAATATTAGTTCTTATTGTTATTTTTCCCGAGACTACCATGCTTGTCTCTCACCGTTCAGTAAATAAGAGCCAAGCTTAATTTGTGTTTTGGGCTGATCCTTGACCAGTTATTTTGTTATCCTCCATGTCCCCTCCATCCTCTCCTTCATCAAGCGACTTCCTCTCTCCGCTCAGTCAGGAAGCCCCTGGATTCACATCAATGCGACTCTAAAAGGAGAAACCAGACAAGAAAGTGGAGAGAACAGGATGAAAACTGCTGTAAAGAGAAACAGGGAAAGATACAGTAACACAAGATGAAACAATATTAGACAAATGTGAAGAAAAAGAGTAAAAGGGGAGATTGAAAGAGAGGGCAGCGGAGAGTGTAATTACAGGACTCCTGGTGTTTTCAAAGCGTCTCTTTTATCTCACCCTTCCTGTGGCTGAGAATCAAGATGAAGCAGAACGGAAGAAGGAGGAGAAGTCCAAGGCCTGGTGGCGTCTCACGCAGGCAACGGGCCGCGAAGTCATTCACACCACACCAGCACTCGCACAAAAACACCGTACCATGTGATCCGCTGAAGGTGGGATTATTTGGAGAAGCCGTCTGAGGTACGGCAGAGCAGGCTTCAGTGAGAGCAGGAAGTGAAGAGACACCATTTTTTGGCTGTAAATGAACAATAGACAGGGATTAGACACAGAAAGTACATAATACATTTCTGGTCAAATTGAGTATCTAAAATTTTGAATAGTCTTAATATTGCTGCTGCGTCAACACCTGAATTTCTTCGACGGGAATCAATAAAGTATCTACCTATCTATGTTAAAGATTGCATTTGTGACAATATTACGTGTGTTACAATTTGAGCAAATGTTTATCTAAACCTGTATGTTATTTAATATTAAAAGATGCAGGGTGTTATTTACAGGCCCCCTGCTTACATGTCACTCTGCTTCAAGAAAGGAAGCAAAACATAGGGAAGAAATGGGATAACAAGAAATAACAGCATCGCAAAGTTTGTTGAATGTTGTTTTGTTAGCGAGAGCAAGATAAGGGCTAACCCTGACACTGATATATATTATTTTGCATACTTGTAAGAAAGAAAGAGCATATGAATCATTATTTGACAATTTGGGACGAGAACTGGGACGAGAATTTCATTTCTGTTTGCAAAGGTCTATCAAAAGATGTTGAATAAAAACAATACATGCACTTAAACTTTATGGATCTCACACTGGAGAAATGTACACGTCACATTTGGCATAGATACAATCACTCAGGTTGTGCAAAAAGACAGGGAGTGTGCAAACATTTAAAAAAAGCAAGATATATAATGTACAATAAGAAAATTAAAAGTGACACATGATATAACGAGGACTCAAGGGCACCCAAGTCACAGAGCACCAGCCCCTCACTGATCCACCTGCAGGTGTTGAGTCCACAGGAGGACGGCTGCTCTGTCACTGTGAGCATAGTCTTGATCTTTCTGTGGGGGCTTCAGGCAAAGTGGGGTTAAGTGTCTTGCCGAAGGGCACAATGACAGGAGACATGTTTCATGCTTTTGCACAATCTGAGTGATTCTGTCTATGCCAAATGTGACATGTACATTTCTCCATTGTGAGATCAATAAAGTGTATCCATCTTATCTTATCAGAAGGAGTTGGTGCAGATCTCTTGGTGGACTCAAACCCACGACTTCAGGCTCAAAGGCCAATGCTCTACCACAGTGTTTTCCAACCAGTGTGCTGTGGCACGTTGGTGTGCCTTGGAAATGATCCAATATCACGTTTGCTTTGTTAATAAAAGCTGTAGAGTAGAGTTTCATTTTGTATCAAATTCAGTTGGTGGGGTGGCAAATGATTTTTTTGCAATGACAAAGGTGTGCCACGGTTTAAAAAGGTTGAGGAACACTGCTCTACCAACTGAACCACTGTCACCCCCTGTTTGGACAGAGCTAGCACTGGTTAATGTTAAAACAGAGTTTACATTGTTTGTTTGTTCTAAAAGTTAAGTAATCTAGCTTTAGGATTTGGGGTTAATTTGGTAAAGCTCCTTTTGTTTATTAAATATATAATATCTTTGTTTAGTTTAGACTAACTTCAGTTGCTAGTTGCTTCTCACCTTTGGAATAGACAGCCTTCATGTTCAGCCTGGAGCTCTTTCCCCTTGGCCACAGTCGGCTACTGTCCTCCCGCGGGCACCAGGGGGCGCTGTCGGCTCGCCCCCCAGCGCTCTCCCCGTCTCCTCTCCTTTCCTCCCCGTCTCCTCTCCTCTCCTCCCCCTCTCCTCTCCTCTCCTCCCCCCTCTTCTCTCCTCTCCTCCCCCTCTCCTCTCCTCTCCTCCCCCTCTTCTCTCCTCTCCTCCCCCTCTCCTCTCCTCCCCCTCTTCTCTCCTCTCCTCCGCCTCTCCTCTCCTCTCCTCCCCCTCTTCTCTCCTCTCCTCCGCCTCTCCTCTCCTCTCCTCCCCCTCTTCTCTCCTCTCCTCCCCCTCTCCTCTCCTCTCCTCCCCTCTCCTCTCCTCTCCTCCCCCTCTCCTCTCCATGTGGGACCGGGACCATCACTTTTGTTTATGGGCGGAGAAAAGTCTCCAGGAGGAGCCAGGAGCGCACACACTCCGACATGCGCCAATGTGGAGGCACAAGTTCAACCAAGCCACTCACACAGACTTTGTGAGATGCTCCAGCTCGGGTCCTAGGGTCTGGAAGTCGTCCCTTGACAGACACCACGGTCCAGCCGCTCAGCACGCACCGTAAGGCGGACTCAAGAGGAGCAGACGGCCGCCTCTCCCGGAGCTCCAGGTGAGGAGAGATTCAGGAATGTAAAGGCAGAGTGCTGCAAGACTGGGGGGACATTCCTGCACCAATACTTATTATGAGCAACAAAACTTTTATGAAAGTTTAAGGCAAAGATAAAGGTTTACTTTGTACTTTTCTGGTAGTTAATGAAGTTGTTCTGTCTTGAATGATTACCCAAGCTCAGTAGACATGCATGCGCTTGTAGATCCTCATGTTTCAGTATTTTTAGAATCAATCTGACTACAGCTGGTTTATCATTGTCCTTGTCTGTCTCAGGAATACTGTAAAAGTCTCTGATTAAATTGCTTTCTTTAGTTAATAGGCTTATGCTTATGATTGGCCCAATGATAATGAACGGTTAGTTAAAGTGTGTATGGTTATGTTGCTGTATGTACATTGTAGCACATATAATTATTATGATCAATACAACGTTTAGGAAAGTTCCCACAGAAAGAGACATGTTTACTTTGAATTATTTATGGCAATTAATGGGACATTAATTGCTGATTACCCAAGTTCAGTTGAGATGTATCTTTATGTTCCAGTCATTTTATCAATGTCTGATTCTATCTGTTATTGTATCATTGTCCTTTTTTAAATATTTCTCATTTATAGATTATTGATCATGATTGGCCGAATGATAATAATGGTTGCTTGGTTGCTAAAAGTTCTACATTTTTGTCTGTATAGTCACGCTAACTTTCACTAAGTAACTTAAAAATGTGTATGTGAAATGTAGGCTGCATGTTGGAGCAAAGTTTTTAGCCCAAGGTGTCATTGTTTTCACCTCACTGATTCTGCCTTTGACTAAGTTTTGAATCGTAAGTATGCACAGCCTGACTTCAGACATTGTAAACTTGTCAGATAGATTTTTTCTTAATTGCATCATCGTAGTATCTGTTTAGGTGACTAAGTTAATTGTGACCCCATGCACACCTCTCTGTCTCGGTGCATAATTGTTTTCTGGGTGCCGCCTGGTTGTCCCGGGCCCCTACGCCACGGGGGAAGTCCTGCCCGCAGACAGGCACAGGGCCCAGCTGGGGACATGCCGCGTCCTGCCGCTCCTCAGAAGTCTGCTGCTCAGCTTTGAACTGTAGCCGCTGGAGGTGGAAATCAATCCATCTCTGCCCCCCTCCCTCTCTGCTCTTACCTGGGTGTCTCGTGCACACAGAGCCCCCAGCACTTCTTCTCTGCTGCACTGCTGCCACTGGGGGCTTTCAAGTTTTAGAGGAAGCAAAGGAAAAATGTTACTCATCTTCAAAAGAAGGTTTTTAGAGATTAAAAGGAAGAAGGAAGGAGAAATATGGTAGAAAGAGAAGAGAAAGCCTACTGTTGCCTCCTTGGTCATTTCTACACATTTCTGATGGGACAAACAATAGTGAAAGCTTTGTCACTATTGTCATGGACTGATCAGATTGATGACAACACAATCAATGCACTTTTTTTAGAGAGGAAAATCATATAACTATTCAGTGGATTATTTACTACCACATCAACCGCTATTTCTGCTGAAGAGAATATGTGGATTATCGTGTGCTTTGCAGCCTTGGTCTCTGAAAAGTGTTGTATAAAAAAAGCTTTCGTTCTTATAAGGACTTGATAATTTCACACAGTTGGGCCGTTTCCGACATCAATCAATAAGGGACTCAATAATCTTCAGGAATTTGTTTTATTTGTGTTGCTTTATTTATTGCAACAAGGAAAAAGTGTTGGACAAAGAATTATTACAACATGCTTTATGTGATTGATTATATTATTTTGATATTTTATACCTCAACAAACTACTACAAGCTACTAATACAATTAAACATAGAAACCTGAGTAATTAAACATAGAGAAACCTGAGTAATTAAACATAGAAACCTGAGTAATTAAACACAGAAACCTGAGTAATTAAACACAGAAACCTGAGTAATTAAACATAGAAACCTGAGTAATTAAACACAGAAACCTGAGTAATTAAACATAGAAACCTGAGTAATTAAACACAGAAACCTGAGTAATTAAACATAGAAACCTGAGTAATTAAACACAGAAACCTGAGTAATTAAACATAGAGAAACCTGAGTAATTAAACACAGAAACCTGAGTAATTAAACATAGAGAAACCTGAGTAATTAAACATAGAAACCTGAGTAATTAAACATAGAAACCTGAGTAATTAAACATAGAAACCTGAGTAATTAAACATAGAAACCTGAGTAATTAAACACAGAAACCTGAGTAATTAAACATAGAAACCTGAGTAATTAAACACAGAAACCTGAGTAATTAAAAATAGAAACCTGAGTAATTAAACACAGAAACCTGAGTAATTAAACATAGAAACCTGAGTAATTAAACATAGAAACCTGAGTAATTAAACATAGAAACCTGAGTAATTAAACACAGAAACCTGAGTAATTAAACATAGAAACCTGAGTAATTAAACACAGAAACCTGAGTAATTAAACATAGAAACCTGAGTAATTAAACACAGAAACCTGAGTAATTAAACATAGAAACCTGAGTAATTAAACACAGAAACCTGAGTAATTAAACATAGAAACCTGAGTAATTAAACACAGAAACCTGAGTAATTAAACATAGAGAAACCTGAGTAATTAAACATAGAAACCTGAGTAATTAAACATAGAAACCTGAGTAATTAAACACAGAAACCTGAGTAATTAAACATAGAGAAACCTGAGTAATTAAACATAGAGAAACCTGAGTAATTAAACATAGAAACCTGAGTAATTAAACACAGAAACCTGAGTAATTAAACATAGAAACCTGAGTAATTAAACACAGAAACCTGAGTAATTAAACATAGAAACCTGAGTAATTAAACACAGAAACCTGAGTAATTAAACATAGAGAAACCTGAGTAATTAAACATAGAAACCTGAGTAATTAAACATAGAAACCTGAGTAATTAAACACAGAAACCTGAGTAATTAAACATAGAGAAACCTGAGTAATTAAACATAGAGAAACCTGAGTAATTAAACATAGAAACCTGAGTAATTAAACATAGAAACCTGAGTAATTAAACATAGAAACCTTGTAAGGAGCTTTTCCTGTAGCATCCTCAGTTGAATAGATAATGTATTTACTCGCCTGTTTGTCTCGTATCTTTTATTACACCCGACACTTGAGTTTTCACAATGACCTTATTATTTATCGGAGCATGATCCAACAGAACGAAAGGAGACGCTGGTGTTTTTTCTGAACTTTACTGCAGTGATTTATAATAAATGTCACACATGATTCCAATCTACACAGCATATCCCATTCCCTCACTGCAAATTTATGATTCTCCAGAGGCCTGTCTGTTGCATAATGCTTCACACATCTAGGTCTACATCAGGCTAAACGTGCCTTTCAGTTTACTTATGGAAGTCAAAAAAAATTTAACTCATCACCTTATAATTTATGTGTCACAAGTTTGGCAAACGGTTTTTTTTAGTCAGCCATATGCATTCAATATGATGAGTCCACCTTCAAACTGTGGGTTGTGTCTGCTCTGTTAACTCGGCAACAAACAAATGTTTTTATGGTGAGCTTTGACTATAGACAAAGGGAGCTTAATTGATTCTCAAGGGAAATGGTTCTGGCAGAGTTCGTCTTCTTTACTGTCAGTGGCAAATTATGGCAAGACGGAGCGATAATGTATCAATAATCACATTTTCACAAACTGTATCTATCAGTAACTTAACTTGCCTTGGTGGCTTAATAACATGTTTTAGATAGATATTGAAAAAAAACACAAAACATCTTCGTGCCTCGGGTAGAATAACAATACAGCATCATAATCCCAGGAAAACCATTAATATTTATAATAACACAAGGAGAGTTCATGAATGATTGGCCCTAATGCATCGTAAAATAGCTACTAGCTTCTCACTGTTAAGGAATGACCAATTTTAAAATCCATTAACGACTTTGGAGATTGTGCTCAGCCCATTATCAAGGCCTTCCATTTATGTTTTATTATTTTGCGTTATTTTATGTTATGGAGCTGAAGTGAGGATGCAAGGATTTTACCTCAAAAAAAGTCTGCAGATTCAGAGCTTTAAAATGAGGTATAACGTAGGTAAAGGTCATGTTTCTGTCAGAGGCGTCACTGTAGAGCAGCGCCCCATCTCCAGATGTGGGTGCTCAGTTTGGTCACATTACTGTTTCTGGAGGCTGCTGTAAATAAACTTCATATTTGTCTGTGTGCGAGAAATAAAGAGGATGATGAGAGACAGTTTCAAACAGATTGTCAGATTGGATTGTGAAAAAAAGTCTTGTTAGCTTACTATTTTCAGTCTTTTAAGTAAGTCTTTAAATTCTTCTTTGACTTTCAATGGATTCTCAAAGATTTGCGCTTTGAAGATTCCTCCAAACTCACAAACACATCACGTCACACTGCAGCTCAGGAGAACACGGTGTCCCATAAGCCCCGTGGTTTTGGATAGCATCTTGGCATTAATCTTATGTCTCTATAAAAACCCTCTGAAGCATAGTTTCACCTTATTTTCTGGTTGCAAAGGTTTAGAGAGTATCGAAAATGCATGAAAAAATCTAATTGTATAATGCTTTTGAACTGTATCAGAAGAACTATTGAACCGTGTGGCTCCACAGAAGGTATTTTTATGTTATTTGAAAAAAAAAGAGAATTTAAGAATATCCCTTGGTATAAATATCGGTGAATAGATGATCAAGATACAATACAATACAATACAATGTATTCTTGTATAGCCCTATGTCACAACAGAAGTCATCTCAGAGGACTTAACAAAACCATTGAAATCACCAACACAGGTCAGAGAATCAACAGTTAAAACACATGAAGAATATAAAGCACACACAGAAGAAAATGTCCATACATGTTGTAGAATGCTAAAGTGTCCTGATCATCACCAATCCTTTCTGTTGGACACTAACTGTCCAACAAGACCCTCCTGCATCGACAAGGAACAACTCTTAAAAAACCCAGTGGGAAAAAGTGAGAAACCTTGGGGAGAACTAGGGAA